TGGAGATTTGCTTCTTGAGTTTTCTGTAAATTTTGGAGATCAGCCCTCTGTCAGATGTGGGATTAGTGAATATTTTTTCCCATTCTGTGGGCTGCCTTTTTGTCTTGCTGACTGTGTCCTTTGCCTTACAGAAGCTTCTCAGTTTCAGTAGGTCCTATTTATTAATTGTTGATCTCACTGTCTGTGCTACTGGTGTTATGTTCAGGAAGCTGTCTCCTGTACCAATTCGTTCAAGGGTACCACCCACTTTCTCTTCTAAGAGGTTCAGTGTGGCTGGATTTATGTTGAGGTCTTTGATCCATTTGGACTTAAGTTTTGTGCATGGCGATAAACATGGATCGATCCGCATTCTTCTGCATGCCAGTCTCCAGTTATGCCAGCACCATTTGTTGAAGATGCTTTCTTTATTCCATTGTATATTTTTAGCTTCTTTGTCAAAGATCAGATGTTCATACGTGTGTGGGTTAATACCCGGGTTTTCAATTCGATTCCATTGGTCTACCTGTCTATTTTTGTGCCAATACCAAGCTGTTGTCAGGACTATAGCTCTGTAATAGAGCTTGAAGTCAGGGATGGTGATGCCTCCGGACGTTGCCTTGTTGAACAGGGTTTTTAATATCAAGGATTTTGCTCATTCCTTTCATCTTTTTTCTTGCCTTGTTGCCCTGGCTAGCTCCTCCAGCACCATGTGAGGAGAGTGGTGATGGCAGACAACTTTGTCATCCTTTTCAGAGAGAAAAAAATAATTTATTATTTCACCATTTAATATGATGTTAGCTGAGGGCGTTTTTTTCTTTTAAATTTCTTATTCATTTTACATACCAATCACAGTTCCCCCTCTTTCTCCTCCCCGTACTTCTCACAACACACTCCATCCACTCTTCACAAAGGGTAAGCCCTCCCATGGGGAGTCAACAAAGCCTGGCACATTAAGTTCAGGCAGGTTCAAATGTCTCCCCCCCCCACACACCGCATCTAGGCAGAACAAGGCATCCCTTCATAGGGAATGCACTCCAGAAAGCCAGTTCGTGCACCAGGGATAGATAGATCCTGGTCCCACTGCCAGGGGTTCCCCAAGCAGATCAGGCTACGCGATGGTCACCCACATGCAGAGGTTCTAAATCTATAAGGAATTGTTTCTAACTGGCTGTATTGCTGCTGAAATCTGTTTGGGGAGATTTCTAGAAATGAAAGGGGAACAGGCATCCTCTACCCTGTGATCATCCACCACAAGGAAGGCGTTTCTTCGAGTCTTCAGCTCTGTATTTTGATGTTGCTATGGGTAGACACTTGAAGGATGGGCTGCTGTTTACTGGCATGTGGTCACCTGTGGTCACATGAGTTGTACAAGTGGGAAGGGCAGAGCTTCAGGTACTTTCCCTAGGACCATTGGGAGGCAGTGCAGTCCCTAGATAGGAACCTTTGAAGTCTGTGTGCCCGGTTCCTACTCTACTCTGCAACGTTAGGCAAATTGTTCAGCTTCCCTGGGTCACCATCTTCCGCCATGAAATGAAAATATCAGCAAACACCTGAAGGCTTCTGAAGATTACATAAGTGAGCAAATACAATGAAATGCTTACCACAGTGCCTGTTGCCTGGTGCATTGTAAGGACTCTGTTTGGATGTGCCAAGTTTAAACTCAGGTTTTCAGCAGCTGCTTACTGCCTCAGATGAAGGACAACTGACACTTTAAAAGACGTTTTACCTGAAACCTCCCACACAGGTGCTTAGGCAGGAAGGTTGATTTCCTTTGTTTTGTAACATTGCTTGTATGGTAAAGACTGTTCAAAATAACCTGCGTCTCCAGACAACCTGTTACACCTGTGGGCAGTGACATTCTCGGAGCTGATGCCAGTATACAGGGTAGGGGTCTCAGGAGCCCACTGGGTGCCATGGAGGGGACCCACTGGGTGCCATGGAGGGGACCCGCTGTTCCCTTGAATTGACCTTTCCCTCTTCCTCCTGCTCTTTGAGGTGGCAAAGAAGCCTCTGACAGCTTTCCAGTGAGTTATCTGTCTCTTTTTCTGTTGCTCAGGCCAGTGAAAAACTTACAACCCTATGTCATGTCATACTGCCTTTAAATAGTGTCCTCAATTCTGTTTGGACCATCTGCACAGTGGGTTTTTCTTCCCACTGCCTCCTGTGTGCTCTTCAGGATCGCCTAGCCCCGGCGTTATTCTGTAAGATGATGGATACGTAGTGCTTACAGACCTTTGGGAACTTCCAGAAACTTCCAGAAATTCTGTGAATGTTCCACAAAGGGCTCAAGAGAGTCACCAGTCTCTGCCCTGCCATGAGAGTTAGAATACGGACAGCAGCTCGGGGCATCTGTCCTTCCCTGGATTGTCACGTGATGCCCTGTCAGATGTGGAGCTGGAGAGTCACGTGACCCGGCTCTCCTGACTGCGCCCACAGCCCCAGGTCTTCATATGAATTATACATGGCAGAGGCTTTCTGCAGAACTGTTTTTCCACTAGCGTACAAAGCACCGTTGGAGGAGTCATCAGACAGTGAGAGCACCAGGCCCCACAGAGGCCACAAAGCTGGTTACTTTCCAGCTAAGAGGCCTGTCAGCTTGGGGGTGACACAAATGGGAAGTCCATACATCAAGTGTGACTTTCTATTTGAGTCTTCGTTCCTTGAGAACACACACACAATCACTGAAAGTTTAATATCAAATCATTCAGTTTCTGAAATGAAGAGAGAGGAGGAGGAACAAAGAAACGGTCAGCAGTGCCAAATTTAACTCTCCTCTCCGGCTGGATAAGACATGCCTCAGGCGCCATGCACAGGAGACCCACACAAGGTGGTTCATTTGAGTAATGTTACTTGGTAGGTGCCAGAGAAGTAATTCACACAGACAGGCTGTGGCCACTGTTTCCACGATTCTGTGCATTTCTCACATGGCTCAGACATGGAGACCACTAGACACTAACTTGTGAGACCTTACAGGTCTGCAGGAGGCCACTCCCAGTGACAGTGGAAGCAAGGAGGGAGAGGCAGCTCACACTGAGAATTGTATCTAAATAGTTTGTCACCCAAGGCTGAACCTATGCTATGACTTTGCTAACAGACAGTGCTAGACTGTCCCCTAAGTTCATCTCTGTACCTGTAGACTAGTACACCTATCGTACCTCACGAGAGCAGTTTCTTCAGACAGTGGCTGGTGTTTAACACAGAAACTCACAACTGATCAGGGTGCAGAGGATAAATGTCTGTGGAGTTCTCAGCCACGAATGGAACATCTGTATTACTGTCTCCATGCCCACAAAGTTTCAGGAACCGTGGCTGAAGGTGGGGAGGGCTGGCGTGACATGGCAGAACCAGGGCATGAACTCCCAGCAGCTGTGGCTGCCTGCACTGGTCAAGCCACTCGGTATTCCTGGAGGGGAGGGGGCCTCAGGAGCCCCACTCCTGCCCGGGGAGCTGTAGACAGTTAATGCCTTCTGGGGGAGGGAGAGTCAATTTCCTTTAAGGGTAATGGCACCAGGTAGGTTGACCACACTATAGTGAGTGGCCCCACACTCATTGACAGTACAAATTGAGTTGGGGGCATCAAGTTGGGGTGGGGAGGGCTAGGGTGAGGACTAGAGGGTAAAAATATGTATGAAAATTGTCACAGATTTAATAAACATATTAAACATAAAAAGAATTGTTAGTTACAAGTGGGGCATCTGTATTACTCCCCCTCCCAAATCTCTGGGGTCATTGCAGGAGAGGGGACAAAATATTGTAAAAGACAGAGGTGGTGGGTGACTGCAAGGAAAGAGTACTTTCTGTATCAGCTGGCACTTAGGAGCTCGAGGTGGTTGTTACAGCACAAGGCCCATGCAAGCTCAAGCCAGACAAGACCCGCTGTGAGAGGGGAACGGGGCATGAGGTCCCATCCCTACCGAGGGCCCGTTGGTAACTGGTAGCAGCTGGGAGAGGGAGCGTTTTCTTCAAGGTGACCCTACACCCAAGAGAATTTGAGCAACACAAATTTGACTGGATGGGCTTTAAAAGTGGGTAGTTAGGAAAGTGGGGGTAAACTGCAGAGGAGTTGGGGAGAGCCAAATACACTGTATAAAATTCTCAAAGAACTGATTAAAGTATTATTTTAAAAATTCTTCAGGAAGTGAATGATCCTGTGCCAACTGTCTTACCGTGTTTGGGTATGTGCCTGGGTCACTCGCATTATTCTCTGTTTTCTGGTGCTGAGGGTTGACCATCACAAACACATCAAACAAGTGCTCCACCACTAGGCCACATTTCCTGTCCTCTTTCTACTTATTTATTTATTTAGAGACAGGATCTCCTCACTAAGTTGCCAAGGCTGGCCTGGCCATGAACTTTCAGTCCCCTGCCTCAGCCTCCTGAGCAACTGTACCACAAGGCTCACCTAGAATTGTTCCTTGAACATATGTTGCCTCCTAAGAGTCAGGTTTAACTAGACACATGCTTGATGTGTGAGGACTTAAAACACATACACAAACACACACAGAGATGCACACACACATAGGGTTACACACACACACACACACACACACACACACACACACACACACACACACACACGAGACACCCTGGACACCATCAGGACATTCATTCTGTTCACAAGTTGCTGTCACAGGTCATGCGGTGAGCCTCTCAGTGACTTCACAATGCCCATGTTTATGTTGTATTGACCGTTTGGACATGTGCTGGGCTGGTTAGTAAAGGCCTATAAAAGCCTAGGTAGTTGGGAGGCTGGGCCAGGAATATCACCAGTTTCAGCCCACCATGGACAACTCAGTGAGGCTCTGTCTCAGGATATAAAGTAAGCAGAGGGTAATGCTGGGTGCCATCATTCAGTGCATGGTATAGTGCTTGGCTAGTATGCAGGAGGCCCTGGTTTCAATCCCCAGCACCCTCCCCTCTCAAACACACACAGACCCAAAAAAAACGAAAGAAAGAGGAAATTTTCACATTCATTTTTCTCTGAATAGCATTCATGGATGTTTTCTCCCATCATTTGGCAGGTGGTAACCAAGAAGGGGGATTTCTTCAGTGCCTGGAACTCCTGTATGCACCATATCATCTCACTGTCTCTGGCACACATTCACAGAGGTGAGTTGACTCTTGCTGAATGTTCATGGTTGGGTGGCTCAGGGCCCTGAAGACCATCGGGGAGCACACTCTGTAGAAGGGAAGTTTTGCCACTAGTCTGAGCCTCCTGCTAGATGTAGGACCCTAAGTCCCTTCAAGAGACTTGAAGCCTATTGTAACTCAACTCCCTGTTTATTAAGAAAACCAACCAGACAGACAGCCCACAGGACACACTTACCAGAGAGGAGATGCTTTGTACACATCATTCCCCCCAGGCCCTTGTCCAACAACATCTGGATTCCTGAATAAATAAATAGGGGGAGACTACATACACTAAATAAAAGCAAGCCTGATAAACAGCCACTATCTGAAGAGGCTGAGCCCTGTCCCAGCTGTTACACCCTGTCCTCAAATTTAGGAGCGGTGTCAATCCACAGTCCCTGATTTTCAACCAAGGACAGTTTTACCCTCAAAGGAGTGTTTGGGCATGTTTGAAGATATTTGGGTTGTTTAACGTGGACACTGTTATTGACAGGTGGCGGGTAGAAGCTAAAATATCATTAAATGTCCTCTACCTCTCATGCCAGTACCCAGTAATCCAGTATGTAAGTAGCACTGAGACTAAGAATATTCACTTTGGTCTAAAGACACTAAAATAACACAAGAAAATGAAACATTAAATATTTGGATCCATGATTTCCTATCACTGAAATTATGTAATATCTGGAATCATTTCATTCATGACATGTCACTGTGTGAGGGAAAGGTATTGAAAGAGAAAGGCCAGGCTCTCACCAAGCATGCTGGCTGTGTGGGGCTTCCATCACATGGGGCCACTGATGGTCACACAGAACACGGTCAGCCATGTTGGTTCCCCAGCACAACTGCAGAGCCCTCGTTCCTGGTGCTTCTCATCCATAGGAGGGAATTCCTCGGTGGATCTGTTAAGAGTCAGGGCAGGTATTGTGGCCATCAACCCAGGAGTGAATATGTTTAACTCAACTTCCCAGCCTGTCCACCACTCTCTCTCTCTCCAACCAGCATACTCTAAAAAGAACAGAGTATGCCATGGGATTCTGTGCCATGTTTCAGTAGCTTCAGGGATGCCCAGCATCTCACTCAGAGCTGAACTAGAGGGAATGCCTCCAGCTCAAATGAAGCCTGGCTTCTTCCCTCCTCTGGAGGCCAGCTCTGGGGACCTTGTGTGTTATAAAGAATGTCATAATTCAGAGCTAGCGAGCACAGGCTGGAATGAGGATGCGACAGGAACACAGGTGGACCACCTGCTTCTTTTCTCTGTGAAGAACCTTCTACCTTCTGCCCCTTGGGAGAAGGAGGAGGAGCTAGGGAGGGACAGTGAGGATGGGGAACGGGAGAAACTTTCACACTCCACGAGTTACTAAGAGACAGGATTGGGTTCCCTCATTTGGAGATCCAGAAATTTTGTCTGTATACCCTAAAGTGTGTTGACTGTGGGGAAACTGACTCGTGGTAACGGAACTTAGAAAAGATTGGTATAAGCTGAGTGGTGGTGGAGCATGTCTTCCCCAGGCTGAGTGGTGGTGGAGCATGTCTTCCCCAGCACTTGGGAGGCTGAGGCAGGCAGATCTCTGTCTGGTCTACAGAGCAAGTTCCTGGACAGGCTCCAAAGTTACACAGAGAAACACTGTCTCAAAAAACAAACAAACAAACAAAGGAAATGATTGGTATAAACATCAGAATGCCTGTTTATTCAAGTCAAAACCCAACTGCCAGGGTCATCTGCAAGTTACCCGTGTGGAATTACATAGTAGCTGAGGGTGCAGCATTCACAGCCATCTGCATAGCTCACGCCTTCGAGGCTGCCGATCTGAGAATCCACTGTCAGCTGCCAGGGATCCTGTAGGTCACAGGCTGTCCCTGCACTATCTTGCTACCCTTGGCTCCAGACTCATTTACTTAAGAAATTTGTTTAAGCCAGCTTCTTCTATTGGAGGTTTCATTTGTTTTTCCCCATACTTGTTGATTTGGCTGAAACACGCAGGAACACAAAGCACCCCCCCAGCCCCTCCACACCCTAGTTGAAGGCAGGTATGTCTCAGACCTCCTCATCCACAGCATGCAACATGTGTTGAACTCATTCTTGGAGGTACAAGCCCAGGTGCTGGGGATCTTCCCTCTGGGCCCCTGTGTACTGACCACAGATACTGTCTATCCCAAAACCCAGGTCTAAGGTGAAGGCATGGGGAGCCTTTGACCCCCCACACACATAGTCACATCTCTGAATAGCCATCCGCCAGCTTTTCATCTGGAGCCGCATGGTTCACAGTAGAGGCAGGGCTGTGAGTCTCCAGTGACTGCACACTGCAAGTGTAGCTGAGCTTGGTGTGAGGACTGAGAACATGGGCTCTGGGAGCTGGCTGTCTGAGTTCATGTCTGCCCTTCCACCAGCTCTGTGGCTACAAGCAAGTCACCCAATCTCTCATTTACAGAGACTGTGTGACTATAGCAAAGAGTAATCCAGATGATCCCCTGCAGTCCTTGTCCTCACGTCTGACTCATTCTACGTAATGAAAAGAAAAATGTCTTTAATCACTATCCTATTAAAAAAACCCTCAGTTCCTGTAAATGAAGTAGATCCTGTCCCTCAAGAGGAAGTTAAACAAGTTGAGTGGTAATGTTTGAGGTCTGAATGCCAGGAAGAAGCATTGAAGATCTGCTGTCACCCAGCACTAAAGAAATCCAATCCATTTTGAACTGTCAATTGGCTTATAACAACAATAACAAGAACAAAAGTAATTTTCAGGAAATTACCCCTCATGTTTAAGACCAGATACAAAGTTCTTAGGTGTATAAGAAATAAAATTAATTTGATGACAGTGTTTGGGTAAGTCAGTAAAAATTTGAAATAGAAAACTCTATCTGTAGTGCAAAAGTCTAGGAGCTGGGGAGATGGCTTCATGATTAAGAATGCTTACTGTGCACACATGAGGATTTATGCAACTGGGTGTGGCTGCATGTCCTTGACTCCCAGTGCCTTGGTGGACAGTGCCAGGAGGATCCCTGGGGCTTGTGGGCTGCTTGCCTGTCTCCACGTTCATTGAGATACCCGTCGTAAGCGACTAAAGTGGGGGATGATGAAGCAAGACACCCGACATTCTCCTCTGGCCTCTGCATGCACATGTGCACACGCCCCTGTGCCTACACCACACACACAAACAAAACAGTGCGTGCAATGGGAAGGTTTGAACAGATAGGCATGCAGAGGTCCTGAAGACGGAGGAGCACTAAGCCTTTGGCAGCCAGGAAGATCTGGCCCAAACGTTGCCGCATCCACATCCTGTCGCTCTCTAGCAGAGGTCTCCAGGGGAAGGGACAAGAGCTCAGAGAGCCCAGGTCTTTGCTGACCTGCACCAATGTTGCCTGCGGACACTTTTTGAAGGAAGAGCCTACAGAAGTGAAGAGGGGAGATCAGTCTGTTAAAGCTCAAACCTTAGCATCTCCCCAGACAGAAATGAACTCAGAATCAAGCCACTTTTATTAGGAACAAATGGGGAGGAAAAGCCTTCTGGAATCCATATCAGTTTGTCACCTGAAGACTAGGGAAAACTAGGCTTGAGATAAAAATGTTAAGCAGTCTCTGGTGGTTTCTGGAGTGGGCTGCAACCATTACAGTGATGAATTGGTATTTTTCTGTGATGCACATATTTATCTTGCCCCAGAAAGAGCAGCTCTGAAACCTTACAGTATCTAAGCCCCTAAGGGTGTACCCATTCCAGGCAAAAAAAGAAAGCAAGCATTCATTAAAGAAATGGCATCATCCGTTCTTCCCGGCTCTGCGCAGAGCTGTCTATGATGTCTCTCAAAGTTGGTGAGCTTTGTGTAGCAGGAAGCCCCTTTCTACTTCTTAATAAAGTGCCGGATAATTTTGAATGTCCGTGTTAAGGGCAGGTTGTAATTATAATTAGAACACAGAATGCCGTGGGGTTCTGCCTACTGAGAATTAATTTCAGATTCCTTTCAAGGACATGTGTGTTTTGAAATGAGGCTTTCTTTGTTAATAAAAACATGATAGCATGCATTATTTAAAACTGTGTTGTGTTTCGCCTATTAGTGCTGATTCCAATATTCTTCATGGGGTTAGTGTTGTCTCCCCAGTTGGGAATGGCGTTAGTCTTTGGACAAATTGCATTTGCCTTGTTTAGGGTAAGCTTGCATTCACTTCTATGAAATTATGAAAATAAAATTTCTACCTCCTTGAATGCCTTTTAACATTATGGAAGCACCGAAATGCCACCTCTTCAACTGGAAATTCTGTGTGGATCTAGGAACTTATCACCCTTTACAACTAAAGTGTCACCCCATGCCACTGTCAGCCCTTTCAGTGAAAGACCAGATTGTCCTTCGTTAGACCCAGAGGTTTCATCTTACTGTTTGAATAACAGGATTTGTGCAGTGTTTTGTTGTTCCTGACAGAGTTTGAAGGATGGAGGAGTATGTCAGAGGGGAGAATTCAAGGCCCTGTGCCAGCTGGGACAGTGAATTCCTTCTCTTGCCACTCAACTTGGTAGCACAAACTTTACCACAGTGACCTATGTAGCTTCAATGTGTCTCCGTTTCTTTACCTCTTGCTGTCGATAAAATACCTTGACAAAGACATCTCAAGGGAAATAGGTTAATTCTGGCTCGCAGTTCAAGAACACAGTCCAGCAGTTCATCGTGGTGGCGAAGTCAAGGCAGGAGCTGGAATCAGCTGCCTGCTCCACATCCACAGTCGAGAACGGAACACAAGCTGCTACTCAGCTCCGCCTCTTTGTCTCTGTGGTCCAGGCATTGAGAGCTTTTCCCACCTCAACCGCCATGAAGGTAATTCCACAGAGGGACTACACAAGGCCCGTCTCCCAGAGGACACCAGATTTTGTCTAGTTGACAGTTACAGTAACCATCACACCAATGAGATCCAAGTGGCTCCAGGGAGGGAGTCCTCAGTATGGCTGTATCTGATCATGGCTTCTCTGTGTGTCTGTTCCCATCAAACACAC